TGTAAGAAAATCTTGTTAGAGATCCACCCAAGAACAGCTCATGGCCCGTTGTCTGGATCCTCATTTGGAATGCATGAAGATGACGAGTAAGAGCTTGAACTTTTATCTCCCAGACTGAAGCTTTTCTAACACACCACTAAGTATTCTAGTAGGACTTCTCTATTTCTCCCTGTCCTTACTCATATTCTATTGCTTATGAATATGAGAATCTTCGGTGTTGTCCCAATGTAAGAGGAGAATTTTTTTTTAAGTCATTGAGTTTTGCAGAACATAGTAATGCTTCCCACCTCATTGTGGTACGTTTCTGTGACAGTGTCATATAATTGCACGTTATGTTTTCCCTTGTTGCTGGGAAAGAGCAGGTTCTCCTCTTCCTTTTTGCTGATTGTTGACAGGCATCTCTTGAACATACTGACTTTTTTCTTGATATTACAAAAATTACTTTAATTTCCCTGGTTAACGTATTTAGAATTTAAATCCAGGAGGTTAAGGAGAACTTTACAGAACTGTTCAGTGCCCAGATGCCTTGCCTGTGTTGTAGAACCCACAGTTCTGATTTAGGCATTTAGGCTTCTTGAATAAAGTATGGGATGAGTTATGTATCTGATTATGGTATTTACAAAGACAGTATCTGCAATGTGAATAGCCTAAATCAGGTAACCAAAACCAAATGGACAAGTGCGTGTTGGAATCTTAAATGCTGTCGCTTGGTAGACCAAGCTCTGTCTTGCAAAGATAAGTGTGGAAATACTTTATTTAATAAGCATGTCACAATTTAATCCTTTCCTTCAAAATTATTTTAGTAGCAATGGCTGCCTTCTTTTGATCTGAAATGTAGGGTTAGAATACAGATCTTGGCTGTAGAGTATCAATTAAATTCCTTTTTCTGTCTAAGTGTGTTAAAATGCCCCTCTTCCACTTCCTTTGGAACGATAAGATAATAAACATTTAAGTTAATTGGAAGTATTGCTATTCAGGTCTTTCTGTTCTTATGTGTTCTCCAGTTAGAATAAGAAGCTGTGCTCTCGTTAGTATTTTCTGTCAGGCCTACTGAATCTTTAAATATTACATGCAAAACGCAGAAGCATCAACAGGGAGAGATGAAAAGAGCTGCCTGCAGCAAGGTTCCCAAACTCACCAGTGTAGCAGTAGGTACCTTACATTGTCCCGAGACTGCAACAGCAGGACTGCTTTGTGAACCAAATGTAAGGGACTTCTATATCATTGGCTGTAGTCATACTGTAGGTTGGAAACTCATCTAACCTATCTGCCAAGGTGTGGGAAATGTGAATTTGAATCATGTTCTGCTGCTTACAGATGTCAATTTTATGCTGCAAACTCTGTCCCTGCATAGAGCCTGGTTAACAAATTTTACATTGCCCCATGGAAGTAACACAGGCAGAGGAACACCTGGTAAGAGGTTATATATGCATGTTGCCCTTTTAGGATTTACATTTGAGGTGGGCCTGAAGGGGCTTAGCTCAGTCTAGAGAAAAGTTTACATTGAAAATAACCAGCAAGAGACTTACTAGATATCTGTGCTCACAAAAATATCTTAATGATTTGCAAGTGAAGTTATAATTTGTGGTGAGAGTTAAAGACCAATTTTCACTACTTGAAGAAAGAAGGAATCCTCAAGGCCTGAAATAAGAGCAGTAAGCTTCAAGCAAAGTACAGGTTCAACATAATTGCTTTGACTTTAATTATGTTACCTTTATTAAACTATTTAAGAAAAGCATGATTGGTACTTATTCAGCAGAGTATGACATAACCAAGCTCAGTGGTATTAAAAGTATTTTTACTTGTTTATTTCTAGTTAAGACAAATTCAGCAGTATTTTTCAGGTTTGATTGAGATCTCTAGTCAGATCCTAGACATAGGATTAAGCATCAGTGGCTAGTATTGCATGAATTTGGAAAAAATTTTGCCTTTCTGGGATAGTCACTGATTTAAAAGTGAAGTCTAAGAAATGGATGAGAAGCTATTTAGACTTGCCTGCTCCTTCAGAGGGAAAAGGATGTTTTCTTTGAAATTATACAGAAGACAAGCTATGTTAACTGAAAAAGTCATTTATTTATTATTCCAACTAATAAAGGGTATTGTTCCATTATTCTGAAAATCATAAAAAATTTTTGGAAAGCAGAGAAGGAGCGTGTTTTGCATGCATCTTGTGTGTTGGAAGGAAGTGGGTGTCAAAAGCATAGAATAATTTTCTATGGTGTATTTTCTAGTTACCTTGCACATAATGAAGTTTGTTCTCAGCTGAGCAATTCAGAGAACAGTGTTAGTGATTCATAAGGTCGGTGCTAACTCCTCCTCTCATTCCACCTCTTCATTTTTCCTGGGAAACTGAATTCAAGGTGGTTGCTGACCATTTATGTCAGGTATTCCAAATTCTCTCATCCTTACTTAAGAGACTGATGAATACCAGTAAATACTGTTTATCACTGGTATTAATTTTTTTTTTTTTTTTTTCATGTCATGTTTCCAGATCATGTAATAGATTCTGGTTCTTTTTTCCAAAAGTTGCATGGAGGCTTTTCCAACTTTGGGGAAGATAATTTCTGTGGGTCTGAGACAGTTTTTGCCTGTGTAACCTCAAATGAGATTCCACAGCAGATCAGATGGTAAAAATGCGGGAGTTTGGTTGTGGTGATTTAATCCATTGATGTTTATAAATAACCCAAGTTTGATTCTGAGACAACACTGAGTAGAGGAAGTAATTTCATTTAGTAGATGATGTGGTTGTTCGGAAGAAGCTCTTTTCTCGCCTAGGAGAAAGGAAATGCTGAAGTGGCTATATGTGGAGAGGCAGGTGGAAGCATGTGGGAATTTGTTTGTTAGCTGGAGGAACAACACACAGCTGGGCTGAGGATAAGTAGGGCTTCTCAAATACAAATGGAATTAACTCGTGCGTGGAATTGTAAAGTTGTATCTAGTGAGGTTATTGTTTAATGAAATTTAAGGATATTCTCCCACTACTGCTGTTTTAGTCCTACGGACTTTTATTGGTATTGTATAGGTACAGGTAACACAAGCATTTTCATGGGTGCAGTAGGTTTTCTCTTACAGCTTGATCAGCATACATTAATTGAACAGATGTAGTAGTTTTGATGGCCTACCTGCACGCTGGCATATTTGTGGTAGTGCATCAGTTTTAAGGCTTGGAGGTTGTCTGACATTCTCAATTTCACTGTGGCTTGAAGAATGACAAAGAATGAAGATTGAACTCTTTAATTAAGGAAAAAAAAATAGAAAAGTGATTTCTAAAAACATTTTTGAAATCCATTTTGATTCCCTCAAGATAATTCTTTTCTTCTCTTGCACTGCTAAGTGCTGACTTGAAAATTAATCAAAGCATCCACCAATATATAAACACAATGTACCTTTTATAACAGAGTAATTAATTATCCCCCTACTTAATATAGCTGTACTGTTATCACAGAGATTCTATAACCTAAAATGTACTTTTAGAGTAATAGAATTAGTAACTGCCAAGTATTATGTTATTGAAATAGAAGAAAAGACAATTATAGCATCTTAAATCAACTGTGAAACTATGGATTTAAGCTGATTTCAGTTTATGCTGATACCATAAAGGCTGGTTACATTTTCTTCCCTACCAGCTCCCTGATTGCACGTTTACTGCCCTGCTTTGCACCAGGATCAGCATTGGTGTAGTCACACTGTCAGCTGGATCAGAGATCTGGCTGGAAAGATGTTTTGTTTTGTTTTGATGGGGCTGATTTTCAGCAAGGTGAAGTTCTGATCCAGTTGCCAGCGCCAGCCACTACATCTTCTCTTTTCACAGATACTTGAGTGAAATGAAGTACTTGGATTTATGACAAACATATTAATTTGGCACCATCTTTACATTATAGACCTTAACAGTGTGTCTCCTGCGTCAAGCTTGATAATAGATTGTAACTAATACTGACTAGTATTTTAGTCCTAGTGAATACTGGAAGTAGCTGTATTGCAGGCACTGATTTCTGTAATATGAAGGTAGACCCCAGCGATTAGTCCATCTGACTTGTTCACGTTCAGACTAAACTGTAAGCATGTCTGCCACTCTTAAGGGAGTAGAGATGTATCAGTCTGTGCATATCTTTTTCCCAGTAATAGATCTTTGTTGAGTGTTAGTACTTTCCTGTTATTGTCTTAATACTTCTCTATTGCAGAGAAAAAACAAATGTTTATGTAAATATGAAGTGAGGACTTTATTCTAGGCAAACTGTGCTTCTCCTATATTATTCCACTGTATTAATCCACTCTATTCAGTCACTGAGATGGGATTTATTGTCTTGCACAATCACAAATACTGCTTATCTTTTGATTTACTTCACATTCCTCTTTGTAAGGAGCTAATTTCTGTTCTGTACTAAAATCCTCATACGTAATTGTATGGTGTGATCCTTCTCCCCAGTCAGCATGTATCGAGTTTTCTGTAGTTCTTACTGACATGTTGAAGTTTCTTCTATATGACAACTGGCAAATCTGCGCTATGTGTAGCGTTAGTCCTGAAGACCTTGGTAGCCTTCATGGCTGATTACCTTTTATTAGACGGTATGTAAATTCTAATATACACACGTCCCTCTGCTTTGTCAAGATAATAATTCTAGTTTAGGACTTATGCAGAATTCTTCTACAGAGTAGGCAAAGATTTGGAAAAAAAACAGATTTTAAAATCTGAGCTTACTGTCAAATGCCTACTGACATTTTCCCATTTGAAATGATGACTCACTCAAGCTGGTGGAAGTGGGAGAGTCACCTGAGCAAGAGGTTTCTAGTGTTAAGCAACCTCTACCAGGCATAAGAGGGACTTGAAATTTCTGTAGTGTAACCCAGTTCTACCTCAATTTTGCTTTCAAAAAACAACGTTGGTCTGTCGGTGTTGCCGTTTCCTCTTTGGTAGTTCAGGAGGACTGATGTGGTTCGTACTGTTCTCTTTATTTCTCCAGTGGGGAGAATCCTCTGATTTTATTTATTTATTCTTTTAGCATATGCAGATGACTATCCAGGCTCTCCAAGATGAGCTTCGGATCCAGCGGGACCTGAACCAACTGTTCCAGCAGGACAGCAGCACTAGAACCAGTGAGCCCTTTGTGGCAGAGCTGACAGAAGAAAACTTCCAACGACTTCATGCAGAACACGAACGCCAGGCCAAGGAACTCTTCCTGCTGCGTAAAACCTTAGAAGAGATGGAACTGCGTATTGAGACGCAGAAACAGACCTTAAATGCACGTGATGAGTCCATCAAAAAGCTGCTGGAGATGCTGCAAAGTAAAGGTCTGTCAGCAAAAGCCACTGAGGAAGATCATGAGCGAACGCGACGGTTGGCTGAGGCAGAGATGCACGTGCACCACCTGGAGAGCCTTCTCGAACAGAAGGAAAAAGAAAACAACATGCTGAGAGAGGTAAATAACCAGGCTCTGGGTTCATCTCTAATCTTAAGGTCTTCTCCATCTCCTCTCCATTTCACAGCTGTAAGGAAAAGATCTTCCATCCTCTCTATAAGCGGTATTTTACGTTGCTGACTTGACAGAATTTGTCCCTATTTTAAAATTTTTTTATAGCTTCTTTGCATGTGCTTCCTGGGGTTTTGTGCTTTAGGCCCCACTTTTCCCATAGTCTCCATATGAAGCTCTGGAGGTGAATTATCTCACAGACTGTACAATTCATTCTTTGGTTCTATTTTAGTTTGAGAGAAAGTAGCTACCTGTATTTAGGAGAGAGTTGAGAGAAATTTTTGCAGGAGTAATGGATGATTGCTCTACGGTTTCCATGGAAACAGTCGTCTTGCTGTGAAGGGTATTTGATAAAACTATTAGCTGCCCTGGATGCACAGCCAAAAAAAAGATTACTTAAAGGGACACTGCTGCACACATAGTAACCCCTTCCCTCCACACCTCTGAAAACAGAAAAGAAAAAACATTATTGTAGCTGTATTGCACCTTAGATGAGTACAGTGGCAGGCATTCTTCACTATTAATTGCCCTAATTTTATTATAATAAAATAGAGGCTACATATAAGTATCTTAGAAAAAGAAAGGAAAATGAGTTGTTGTGTAGCCAGTGTCATTCAATTTATTGATACTGTTAAATGTATTTTCTTCTTGATCAGCTTCATAAAGTATTCTAATATTAACTTCTAAAAAGCTAGTAATTCAGCATGTATTGTGTGCATACACAGGTATGTGTATATGTACGAGTATTCACTAATGGTAAGATTTTCTGTAAAGATTATTTTACATACATCTTTAGATTGAATGCATGTATTGATAGCTATACATGTATGTGTAATATGTGTGTGTGAATCTGATGACCTGTTTTGGGCATTGTATATCTACTTTGTGGTTCAGCAATTTTTTGAAAGCCTGATGCATATACAAGATTTAAACCCCCTCTCTAAGAAGCCAGGGAAACAAGGTCTGCCACAGAAGTTTTTGAGGTGAGTGTTTGCAGCAAAAAAACCCACTTCTTAATACCTCTTATTCATATGTTTTCCATGACCCGACTTGCGTTCTTGCAAACATTTATAAGAAAGCTAGAGCCCATTGCATTTCTGAGCCAGATTTAGGCCAGATTTATTTTTTTAGAGCAGTAATCTCTTGAGTGTCTGGAGTGAAGATAATATGATTCCAGAGTTTCTACACTACAGTTTTTCCTTTATTTAGCAACCAATGATAATTCTGTTCCAATTCTTGTATCTATTTCAGGAAGAGCCCCAAATGGCTTCCATTTGTTTCTGCATTAAGTCCAGCAACATAAATGAAAAGCTGACAGAAGCTGTGTAATTTTTTAAGAATGCAGTTACATTTGTTTCTGCTACTGACGAGTAGATGCTGAGCGATAAGAATTCTTGTTTCATTCACACATATCTGGAAATTATCAATCACTTCAATCCTAGCCGCTATGGTAAAGGATTTCCTGGAGAAGGTGGAGATGATTTACTGACTTTGAAAGTGCAAACAATGTTTATCTGACATTTTAAAATTAATTGCTCCTTGCTGCTCACCCAACTCATATATTTAGAGATGGGTAGTCTGGGTATACTGTAATTTGTAGCTCAGGATCCAGCCTTGAAGCTGAGCACCCTAGTAGCCTTGGAAACATGGTGCCATGTGCAGAGATGCCAAATTATCTCCTTATGGAACTGGATCACATCAAGAAGGGTTTTGTTAGTATTCATGTGTCGTCCTTGAGCTCTGAGCTAGGCTGAGCTAACTGAACTCAGGGTTGTCTGCCTCTGAAACTCAAGTCCCGTGCCTGGGGCTCCAGGAGGCTGGAGAAAATCAGGGGATGTTGCTGAACTGTAGCTGTCTGCACCCGGCTTCCTGAGCACCAAGTTTCTCTCCTCTGCAGGATCTGGTTCAGAGTTGCTGTCACTGGTCCACACTAGGACGTCGATTCTGTGCAGAACCTCTTAGGTGTGTCTGCATCACTCTCCTCAGCTAATCTTCTATTATGTGTTTATCTATATTTCCACAGTTTTAGATTATTTTAGCCCTTTTCTACCCCAGATACTAACTGGAATTTTTGAGCTGCCTTGAAGAAATTGATCTACTTTCTTGACGGTTCTATATCTAGCATTCACAGTATCTGGAAAGGCATGCTAAACCCTTCTTTAAATACTGCTGTTAAAGGAAGCATTAGTATCTCAAAGGGATTTGCATGTGCAGAGGTCAGCATTTATACTTCATGTACTAACGCATTAGAAAAGCTGAGGAAAACTTTAATAGCAGTTTTGACCATCTTACCTAAAGCAAGTTCTGAGATGTCAGTATCCACTTTCTAAAGTTTCTAACTATACAAGTATGCTAGGTTTCTGGTAAAAGTCTTTGTTAAGAATAATAATAAAGATCTGCATCTTGAAAAGTGGAGGGATACCTTTTCGCTTCAACTTTGAAGTTGACATGTAATTCAAAGCGTGATGTTGAGACTCGAGGTCATCAGATGGTTTCTCAGACAGACAATGCAGGTGCAGTGGCCAGCAGTCTGACCTTGAAAATTAAATGCGAATTCATTGATTTCTTTAGCTATCACTATTACTGTGATTGTACTAAAGATTGCACTAGTATCCTAAGGAAGGGAAATTCTTAGAGAGCCTAGACTTGTGGTTCTGATAAGATCATAACCCAGGAATAGCTGTACTGGTTCAGGCCAGCGATCCCTTTGGTCCAGCATTCTGTTTCACATAATGGCCATATGCAGACATCCAGGAAAGTGTAAGAACAAGGCAAACACAATACTTCTTTGTAATACTGTCCCATCTGCCCACGTACTTACAGATGAGGGTTTTCTTGAAGTCTTTTTGACTTGTCAGTTTAGTATTCTCCATGGATCTGCCATCTGAGCGCATGGTCAGTGTCTTCTCGAGCCCATGTAAGCTTTTGCAACTATAGCATCATTTGGTAAGTGGTTCTACAGGCCTTCTCTCTGTTGCAGGAAGAATGTGCCTCATTTCTTTTGAGTTTGAACCTGTCTCCTGGTAACTTCAGGGACAGCCTCTTGCTCTTTCACTGGAAGACACAGTGAATGGGTGAGTGCTACTGAGACTCTCTGCCACTCAGTTTTAGATTTGTCTTATCCCTTTCAAGCTCTGAATTTTTCCAGGCTGAAAAGTCTAATACTACTTAATTTTTCCTCATATAGAAGATACTGGATATATCTGATCATTTTTCAGAGCAGTGTCTCAGTCTCCCATATCCAGGTTATGAAATGGATTCCTCTCCGGCTAGTGAGAGGTATCGCCATAAGCAATTTGGGCTTTTCGCAAATGTCCAAGATTCCGGAAAACTCAAGCAATCTTTCCATACAAGTCCATAGGAAAGATCCTGTATCCAGAATAGGATGTTATTTGGCAACTCACTGATACAAAGGACAGAATGTCATTAGCACAAAATAATGAAAAATGAAACGTGTCATTGAACATCAGAACAGAGGCATGGATCAAGGCATCTGCCCTGACTTCAGCAGATGACAGTGTGTCTGCATCACATTCCTCTACCCTAGAAAACAAGTGTAAGCTTCATAGCTTATAAAAAGATGGCTGCTATTTTGAATACCCCTTCTAAAGTCTTAGTGAAAATTATTCACATTATTGTTGGTCTTCTAGACTTAACTTTCAGAAACAAGATTATTATCATACCAGCAAGAAATACTTGATGAAATCCAGCAGCTGGACTACAGCTTCCAGAATAGCTCCCAAGTTATGTTAACTGTCACCTCATTGTTCCAGACTCACCTGTTGCAGAATTATCAGTGATGGCAGTGACAGCACATAATTATAAAGCTGTGCTCTTTTTGACCACCTCCTTGTTTCAACCCCCCGCCCAAATGCTAGATGCACTGAGTAGCAATGTTTTTCTTGGGTACACAGAGTAATAGATACACCAATATCAGTGCAACTTGTGGCAGAAAATGATGTGATTGTATCCACATCTGGTGTTCTAGACACTTGGAGTACTTTGGGCAAACTATGATTTGTAAAGACAGTCCAACATCATTACACCAGTCTGGTTAAACATTTCTCTCTTGAATTGTTCATCACTCCTTGTCTTTAGGAGTATGTATCTGAAAAAACGGAAATCATACACTTCTAGCATCACAGTCAGTAAAGAGGTAACTTCTTGAGAGTTTTTGGAGAAGAAAGTTTAGGCCAAATTTCTCATCTGCCTAGAAGAAAGGATATAAACAAAAGTGTCTGTATTGATTCTACCCAGGGAGAACAAAAAGAAGCTGCTCACTGTGTATTGTTGTCAGGTATTTTCCAAACAACTTTGGCAGTGTTGTCACATTTCCTTACTCCTTCACAGAAGATAGCAGCACAGTCGTTACGACAGTAGTTAATCCGATGGCCTGTTTGTCCCTGGGTGGCTACTGGACATACATACTCTGCAAGCTAAATACACCTTTATTCACAGCAGTGCTATAGCATAAACTAATTGGAGTCTCCAAGATATACTGACGTATCTCCTGCTCAGGTAGAGATATCCTCTGATGGCTCAAATCATAAGAACTAATGAGGATGTATGAGGGGAAGTTCCTAAATGTATTCCCTTCTTTTCATTGGCCAGTGTGCCTGTTGGTATCTACCTGATATACCTATGAAGCCGTCAGTCCCATCATGCCTTGTATAACATATATTCAGAGTCCTGGTAACATACATGACCCTAACCATTGACCTTTACTGAAAAGATGCAGTAGAAGTCGTGCACAGTGCTTCACAGTTCTTCTTCCCTCATAACAGTTTTACCATATGGTTACAATGAAGGAGAAGTAAGTCCCGCAAGTGACTTGTGACATGCTGTGTGTGGCTGTTGTCAGTACCTTTAGCAAGAGGTCACAAAGAAGTCTCCCTTTAAGTCAAACTGTGATCTTGCACCTATAGTATTCTCGTGTGAAAAGGGAGCAG